ATAACAAATGCCTCAGAAGGGGAGCAGAAGCAGAAAGCTTGGCAGGAGGAAGTGGTGGAGCAGACGCAAGCATGGAAAATGTTAAGAAAATAGGATCAACGGCAGCTTTGCACGTTTGACGAAACCAAATACAGGCGACCGAGAGCCAAGAACAGGACTCGCATGCAGAAGCCATATCTGGGCTGGGGACATCTGCTGCTGACCAAGGAGCCACTGAAAGGCTCTCAGATGGTTGGATGCTCGCTTTTGTCACACATACAGCACCAAGACGGCCGAGGCGGGTGGGGAAGGGCGCATGTGACAACGTTAAACTGGAAATCATTGCACGGTCACGTGTCAATCTTTATTGTCCCAGCATCAACCCATACCAAACCCACATAACGGGGGCGGGAGCAGGGTCGGGTGGCTTTCAAAGTGAAACTGTCAAAGCGCATTACGTTTGCATTGAGAGCGAAAAGCTTTTGGTCCCATCCTCGAGCTGTTTTCCTTTTAGTCTAACTCAAAACTTAGTTTCCTGCATATAATGAGGACAGTTGGATAAACTAATATAGCGCTAAGGTCCGACTTAGCATCGAGTAGGCGACCGCCTCGGCCATGCTGCTGGGCATTCAATTACGGGTCTTAAGTGCTGGCATTTTGCTGAATGGGTCATCAGGTGGTTACCTTGGCTACTCGTAGCTCAGCGCCAACAGCTTTTCATGAGGTTTATCCAGGAAATAGCCAAGCTTGTGCTCTTTTAATCTTGCTCAAGCACTCGAGAGCTGGGAGAGTTTAATTCCGGCTACAGAGCAGAAGGCACTGTTCGCCCAAAACTATTCGAATCTATTACAGCTTGCGAAACTATCAAAAAGGTCAACTGTCCAAAGATAATCCCAATGTCAAATGGTATTCTTGGCAGACAAAGCCAGACCCGAAACGAGGTCATAAACGGTCCATGCGATTGTGTAGTGTGGCTTTAATGCTTCCAAGCTCACATTATGGCCTCGGGCCCCTGCAGAGACAGCAAAAAGGGTAACACTTAATTTCAATTGGTGCAATTAAGGGCGACCCACACAAGGAGTGGAGCACCGCCCTTTTTAATGTGTGTTTAAAAATTTAGTCACTTTAAAAATCAGCAGGACTAAAGACAAAAATATCCCAACTCACATGTCTAATTAACCAGTGAAGGTAGAGGGAACGAGGCGAAGGGCCAACAGCGTCCTTCTCTGTCGTATCTCACATGTGAAGCCGCTCGCTGCGCAGCTTGTTGGCGGACCTTTTTTCTGACTCAGTGGCTACAGAACTCGCCCGTGGTAGATCAGGGCCAGTGTCAGGGCCAAAGGGCACACGCCACACGCCACACGCCAGTCGCCAGACGCCAGACGCCAGCCGCCAGCCGCCGCACCTTGTTAGAGAGAATAGACGTTCCAGGAGCGGCTGCCCGACTGACGGACAGCCCGATTGCTCGGCTGGCTTGCCAGGCATGCCACCCGGTGAATCAGTCAACCCTTAAATTGGTACGCAATGTCAGCGATGAATTATCTGCAACCTGCTAAACAAGCAACCCAGGCGGGTGGTGGCCAGAGCAGCCCTTCTGGCTGTGAGCTGGGGCGATGCCGCTCGTCGAGCTTTTGTCAAATGTCGGCCGATGTCAAAGCAACGCGCGTCGTGGCCATAAATCACGGATGGGCCAGAGAATGTCTAACCGACAAAACGGGGCTAGGGGTCAGACACTGCACAGTGCTCGCTATAAGTTTTGTACATTTTAAAGTTATTTCCGTGACGGCTGCACAGCTTTAGCTCCGATGGGCATTTAAATTTGTGTGTTGTCTTTTGTAGACCCATTGGAGGCGACATCGACGACACCAAAGTTATAATCTGGATCTGGATATCAAGCATACTCATAATTGCTTGGGCTAAGTTCCCTGCAAGCCGTCGAGTCCGCCTCGTGCATGGAGCGGAATAGGGTATCTATCTATGACTGAGATTCAATTGTTTCCAGTTGCCGTACAATTATTGTCGCCGCTTTCGTGGTGCCCCCAGACTCAACTCAAGTGTAAAATTAAAACGCAAGCAATGAAAAATCATCAACGTCAGCCCCACACACACTTCATTCATGTCATCCCCCACAGCCCCCAGGTCGTTTTTGGAAAAAAGAAGTAATAAAAACAGTAGCAATCATTTTTTAAGGGGATGATGACAATGCGTCTGAGTTTTAAAAATATGAGCCGCAGAAATGCCCAACGATCAAAGGCAGCCGAGCTGCGGGCACATTGCGCTGGCTGGAGGAGGCAGCACTTTCTCAGACACTTTGATGAATGAGGGCAGGCGTGCCAGCACCCTGAGGTGGTGAGGTGACAATGGCAGTGCCAATGGCGAGATTGAAACCGGAAAATAGCTGTGGGTCTATGGCAATCTATACGCCTGACTCCCCAAAACTCTGAGGGACTGGCAAAAAAAGAATCCAAGTCTAATTGAGACTATTAACTAGATACACACACACACACAAGCCAACCGAAGATTTCATAAACTTCAAACTTCGACATCAACAAACATGTGACGTAGAGCATTTAAATCATTCGAAGTGTTGGTTGGCCATAGATAGGTGATCTCCCTCTAAGGCTTGCCTATAATTGACATATTACGTGTCATCAAGGTAATTTCGAGGCGCAATCCTGCTAGCCCGGACATGGTGACATCCACGAACTATGTTGGTACTATGCTAAGTAATTTATTGACCAGTCTTAAATCTAGGCAAGAAAGCTTTTGCATACAGTCATAGACCAGCACCTGACAGACAAATACTAAAGTGAAAACTTGATTAGTCCATCGAAATGTCTCCAGCATAAGATTCGAGACTTTAGAAGCAAATGACATAAAAATAATTTACAAAAAAAAAATGCTGCAAAGTTTTTTTGCAATTGCCATTTCCTTTGCCTTTGCTGTTGCTGCGGCTGTTGCTGTTGCCATCGTTGCCGTCGACAACGTTATTACAAAACCCATTAAATTCTATTTCCTGCCATCAAACTGCCCAAAGTTAAATAAAGCGCGGCAAGCTCTCGCCGACCGTATAAACCGAAAACGCGAACCAGGACTCAAACCGAAAAGTACATAATAATAATAAACGACGGCAGCCAAACAAACAAGCGGCAAACTTTTTTCGAGGCGCTAGCCAAACTCAAGCTCAAATTCAAACTCAAATTCCAGCCAACATACAAAAACTGCCGCTGACAAATGTTTGGGGGACGGCGAAGGGTGCCAGGGCGCAATATCGGGTCGGTCTTGAGCATAATTCGGGAAATGTTGGAGCACTCGAAAGTGCAGACGTTGACTGCAGTTAAAGGCAACTTCAAAGCGGTCTGCAAAAATAAACTAGTCTGAGCTGTCGTTCTTTAGGCAGGCCTGACTAAGCGAATACCCTGACCCCAAACAAATCTGTATATGCGTTTGTATCTGTATCTGTATTTGTATCTGTATCTGTATCTGTATCTGTATCTGTATCTGTATCTGTATCTGTATCTGTATCTGTATCTGTATCTGTATCTGTATCTGTATCTGTATCTGTATCTGTATCTGTATCTGTATCTGTATCTGTATCTGTATCTGTATCTGTATCTGTATCTGTATCTGTATCTGTATCTGTATCTGTATCTGTATCTGTATCTGTATCTGTATCTGTATCTGTATCTGTATCTGTATCTGTATCTGTATCTGTATCTGTATCTGTATCTGTATCTGTATCTGTATCTGTATCTGTATCTGTATCTGTATCTGTATCTGTATCTGTATCTGTATCTGTATCTGTATCTGTATCTGTATCTGTATCTGTATCTGTATCTGTATCTGTATCTGTATCTGTATCTGCATCTGTATCTGTATCTGTATCTGTATCTGTATCTGTATCTGTATCTGTATCTGTATCTGTATCTGTATCTGTATCTGTATCTGTATCTGTATCTGTATCTGTATCTGTATCTGTATCTGTATCTGTATCTGTATCTGTATCTGTATATGTATATGTATAAAAGGGTAGACATGTACCAATAAAGTTGCAAATGGTAGCTATAGCGTACTTATCTCGATCGACTGGCGGAAGCTGGCATATTCAGTGAGCCTTTGGCAGGTCTCTTATTATGCGATATTATAAAATGCAGCGTTGGCGACTTCATTGCTTATTAATCCCAATGTAAATCGTGAAAACTGAAACATCTCCCTCTGCTGCCTCAGCTCAGAGCTGTTATTATGCCTGACCAAGCATCAATAAATGTTGTACTATGCCAAACAGCCAACCAACAGAAACATTAGCTACAGTAATCCCTGCGCCAACAACAACTTTCGACATTTATGCACAGTAATCACGACAAAAGCAACAAAAGCTACGCGGAATGGAAAAAAGAAACATAGTTTAGACGTTATGAATACAGCTTAGCTTGGCTAAAATGAGTTGACGTTGCATTCACTCTTGCTTCTATAACTCCTCGAGCTTCCCCCACTCTAGTTTTTATGAGCTTCATCATTATTGCTTCGTAAATTCACAGCAAACTCACAGATTTGAAGAGAAAAGCCATACATTTTGGAAACATCTTAAATAAAACAGTAAATTCAAGAGCACTTCGTTTTTAATCGTATATATCTACAAATGTACTACAATTTCTCTGAAATTTGGATTTCACAAAAAATACTGATGAACCTTCAAAAATGAATAATTTCATATATTATTATTATTATTATTATTATTATTATTATTATTATTATTATTATTATTATTATTATTATTATTATTATTATTATTATTATTATTATTATTATTATTATTATTATTATTATTATTATTATTATTATTATTATTATTATTATTATTATTATTACTGTTATTATTATTATTATTATTATTATTATTATTATTATTATTATTATTATTATTATTATTATTATTATTATTATTATTATTATTATTATTATTATTATTATTATTTGTATCTGTATTATTTTTATTATTATTACTCGCCGCAGTAGAGGCCGCTGGAGGAAGGAGCCCCAGGCAACACGGGTTCAGAGCTGGAAAATCCACAATGGGAGCTCTCGATGAAGTGGTTCAGGCAGCCAGAGCTACGCAAAGAGGAAATGCATACTCGCGCCCAGTGGTTCTGCTAGCAACGCTGGACGTTAAAAACGCCTACTAGTCATACAGGATTGCACAGTATGTATGTACTGAACGTGCTCGACATCAAAATATGATTATGCTAACTAGCAAAGCTGCTCACTCTGATCAAGTAACACACAGCTACTTGCTTAGTAGCTCTGGCTAGGAAAAAAAAAAATCGCATAAGTATTTAAATAAAATCGTCTGTAAAGCGAAAACTTAGTACACCCATCAAGGAGCCATTTATTTGTCAAGTATGTATTAATGAAGAATATAAAGATTGGAATATTATCGAAGAATTGATGACATCTTTGCTCTACTCGAGCAGTTTCGACTGGAGCATTCTTACGGAGTGTTTATTGATATATCAGACAAAAACTACTTTTTTATAACAGTAACAAAAGCCATGTAGAACTTTTATATCATTCTAGTATATCAACTACTCCTTGAATATCAGTGCAAAGAACTTGAAAATAATTGAAAAATGAGTTCGGATACAGCGGGACCCTGCAGATTGGATTATAGCAAAGAAGCTCTTTGGGAACGTAGCTATCTAAAGGTAACTCTCAATATTTAATACTGCATTCAATTCAACACTTGTTCAATTACCTGTACGTGAAATCATTGGAAAAAATCAGAAATATTGTATATAATGTTGATCAGCACTATTCCTATTCGGATACTACCGACTAGATCAATCCTAGCTGATTGTAACTATTTACAAACTACTTAGAAAAAGTGCAAGGAGTTGAATATAGAAGAAGACTATACTTTGTACGACAGACGTCTATGCATCAATCATCTCGGCGTATTCTTCTTCGTACACTCGACTGCGACCGTGATCAAGTGTATCATGCTGTTGGTGACGTGTGCGGTAATGATATAATTCAATCTTTAATACCACAGTTAGTCAATAATCCCTGTGCACGCAGTACCCCGAATTCATTCATGTGGATGTGGGAGTCTATATGACATCCGCAATACTCACTGTCTCCATATTGACCATCAACTTCTCAGAATCAATCGTGTCGCGTAACGAATGGATTATTTACGTATCTTCGGCAGTTGCTGCGGCACTCATAGTTATGGCGGGTACGTATCGATCCATACAAAGGGCCTGCTCACCGATCCACTTTCTCACTGGCACTCACTATCCGCAGATGTGACTATTTTTTTGTACCACCATTATATACACGAATGGACTGTTCTACCGTTCTACGACGCATACGTTTTATATGTTATATATTTGTGTTTTCCCATACCCGCCCTTAGAGCTCCGTTTATATTGGCGTCATTTGTATCTATTACCTACCTTATTATTATTTACTTTTACACTCTTGACAACGAGTTCATCAGTTTTCAACAAGCCCCATATATGATCGTGGAGGTTCTGCACTTTACGTGCTGCCACTTAGTAGGGTTATTCTATCGCTTGCTGAACGAGATTACGGTGCGCTCGTCGTTTATTGATCGACATCAGTATGTAATGGAGGAGATTTCGCTGCGAGAGGCAAAGAATAAGGAGAAACAATTGCTTCACGGCATTTTGCCTCCTGACATAGCACGACCATTCGAGAAAGAAATACGCTATCGTATCGGGAAAACTAACAAGATACACGGCGAATATCAAAGCAGTAACTTAAACCAAGGCATTATGGCCCTTCAATTCCATCCGGATGTTACTATCCTGTATGCAGACGTGGTCAACTACACGCATCTCACCACAACACTTACTGTCAACTCTCTGGTGGCATTGCTCCATGATCTCTATGGTAGATTCGACATGGCTGCCCGTACCTTTAAAGTACAGCGCATTAAGTTCCTGGGCGACTGCTACTACTGTGTGGCGGGTCTTACGCGACCCGATCCCGATCATGCCAAATGCTGCATAGAGCTGGCCCAAAGAATGATTGCACATATTCGGGAAGTTCGGTAGGTATGATTTTTGCCTTCTACTCAGTGCGTAAACAACTATTATGAATAGATCAAGCCGAAATTTGGATATCGATATGCGAATCGGTGTGCATTCTGGTTCTTTGATGGCCGGTGTGATGGGTGCTGCAAAGCTACAGTACGACATTTGGGGTAGGCCTGACGCAAAAATATTTATTTACAGCCTTTTTATCTCAATTGAGGGTTTTTATACCCTGAACCCATTGAAAATGGGAAATCAGGGTATAATGGTTTTGTGAAATGTATGTAACAGGCAGAAGGAATCATCGCAGACCCCATAAAGTATATATATTCTTGATCAGGACGACGAGCTGAGTCGATATAGCCCTGTCCGTCTGTCCGTCCGTCCGTCCGTATGTATGAACGCGTCGATCTCAGAAGATATGTGAGCTAGAGAGCTGAAATTTGGCATGCATACTCGTCTATACCATAGGCAGTACGAGTTTGCTTTGTTTTTTCGATAACTCATCCGATAACTTTTTTATCGAGAATAATCGAAAAATCGACTTGGTTTCTTCAGCCTAGTTTGAACACTTTTAAGCCTGGAGACTTCAAATTTGCGTTGTATGTAAAGTTATCCGATACAAAAATTTTGTCATTTACAGATTTTGGATACCACGCCCCCTTCTCCCCCAATTTGTAAAAAACGCATTTCAAATACTAGAAACTTTGGAATGTACACACATATTTACCATATGATTACGCTCTGAAAGTTTCATTGAGATCGAAGGTCTACAAAAAAAATTATTCAACAAATAAATTCTCATAATATTGCCCACACTTCAGCGCAACCCAAGCGCAGTCGCTGCTTACTGCGCAGTTAGCAGAGGGCAGGCTTATGCGTGCGTGTGGATGCATGTGTATGTATGTGTGCATAAAAGAAGTGCAGAATGATTAGAATATCAGCTTGGAGGGTTCAGGGTATCTCCTAGTCGAGCAGTCTCGACTGGAGCCTTCTTACTTGTTTTTTTTTTTTTTTTGTAGGAGAAGATGTTATAATTGCTGGTATATTGGAATCTACCGGACGGCCAGGCCACATTCACATAAGCGAAAGGACTAGCAAAATGTTAATCGATAACCCCTATGAGCTTCTTCCTGGCACAGAGAAGGCTCTCCAACATCCTCAACTTGCAAGTAAAAACATTAAAACTTTTCTTATTGCGGCACTTGATTACAAAACAGTCTTGGGAAATGAACAGTCTTCTCAAGCTCTGGAAACGATCCAAGATCTAGAAATGCAAAAAAAAGAGGCGCTGCGGATTGAGTTTGATAAGCTTCCTGTCGGCTCGTTTCAGTGAGTTTTTTCAGAACTAGTCAGCCCACTGAGCTTTAGTAAATCCTTTCCCATAGCGTCAAGAATAAGTTTACAACAATATTTCGGAAGAAAAGTCGTACCGCCAGTACAGAGCGTGCGACTACACGTCCACAAATCGGATTTTTGTTTTTGAACTTTCGCGATTCCCGAAAAGAGTTGAACTATATGAAGCAACCCGACTACATGTTGAGATATAGCGTTCTGTTAGCTTGGTTTGCTGGAATATTTCTGGTGTATCTTGTTAATATTAGCCACAAAGCCGACAAGACCAGCGTCAACAACAATATTATTGTTATGGCGTTACTGACTACGCCGGTGATCATCTTGTGGTTCAAGAAGGCTTGCCATTGGCGATATGGGAATGTTCCGCATAACTTTACAAAATGCAGTTGCTTAATTTTCAAGACAGCCGAGTGCATACAGTCTAGCCTCATCATTCGAATGGGCATTTATATGAACATGATTGTGTGCTACTTCTGGATTATTTTTCAGGTCCTGGTAAGTACAGAATAATTGCAACAAGCTACACATAACATCCCATAAAGATGATTATTCAGAAAGCTTTTATTTATACTCGCTTTTCAACAAGAGCATAGAAGCGACAAATGTTATGACAATTGGTGGTCCTATGACGAAAAGTAGTCAAGAATTTTACAATTGACCTCCTCCACATTTTGAAGTTTTTACTGTGGCATTGTAGATAAACGAATGAGTTTTCGTAACAAATATATTCATTTTGAATTTTTTACTATTTAGAATCAATGTGACTACGACGAATTCCACCTCCAACTTATCGAGAGTAAGCTATACCATTATGAAATGGATAAATACATGTGTTTTTATCCTTGGGATCTCACAAACATGATGTCTCTCATGATTGCCTTAAGCATAATATTCACACGAATTCCCTGGATGGTGAAGATCATAGTAAGCGTATTAGAAGGAACTACATATATGATAATCATGTTTATTCAATTCGAATACGTAATTAATCGAAGCAGTACAACCAATCCCTACTTTGATTCAGAATACGCGCACGGCTTCAAGATTATGGCTACTTTAGGATGTCTCTACTTCATGGAACGGCAGGCTGAGTTCAATAGCCGGGTCAACTATAAGTAAGTAGCTCCGCAAGCATTGCGATTCGCGACCCCCAAAGTACTAAAGATGATTGCACTTGTATGTAGCTGGAAGTTGGAACTGCTCAAAAAACAGAATGACGCTGTCATCACTAATAAATCGATAACTATTCTGCTGCAGAATATTTTACCTGCTCATGTCGGTACGATGTGTTGCAATTGTTTGTCTCTCGCATTATTATTTACAGTCAATTTGTTTCCCCAGTCAACATATATTTGACGTCATTGGCGAAGCACCAGCTGTATGCTGAAAACTACAAAATGGTGGCGGTGATGTTCGCTTCCCTCCAGGACTTCAAAATGGACGTGCGCAACTTGCGTATTCTGAACGAGATCATAAGTCAATTCGATAGAATAGTGAGTGATATAAGCAGGCTGTGACTTTGAAAGACTTAGACTTCGCTTCTTTCTATACCCATACTCGAAAGTGAAATAAGTATATTGGTTTTGTGCATTGCCCATCTTGCTGTCTGTCAGTCCGTTTGACGCAATTTTTGTCTGCGCTGAAATTTGAAACACATACTCGTATATACTCAATTTACAAAACTGTATCTTCTACAGTTTTAAAGCTATTGGTGCGATTTCGGAAAAACCTTCCATTTCGACAGTTTAGATCTAAAAACTCAAAATTTAGCTGCTAAATTGCAGAGAGCATCTCTATTGCTTAGCACAAATCGAATTTAAGTATATATTTACTTATTGGGAGCGTGGGAAATAAGAAAGTGGAGTGGGAATGAATATTCTTCAGTCGAAAACACCCGACTACAACGTTTTTGTTATACCTGAACCCATTGAAAACGGAAAATCAGGGTATAATGGTTTTGTTGAAATGTATGTAACAGGCAGAAGGAGTCGTGGTAGACCCCACAAAGTATATATATTTTTGATCAGGGTGAGCTGAGTTCATTTGGATTTGTTCATTTCGATTTCAGAAATTATAAGAGCTAGAAACTTCAATTTTTTTTTCAAATGTGCGTGTATATAGCGTGGATATTGAGCTTATCACCAAAAATCAATAACTCATCCCGTTATTTCTTGTATTGATAAAAAATACCTTATCGAATATCAGTTATAAAATTATATCTCCTACATCTTTAGAGCTAGAGTCTCCAAATTTGAAATGTAGATTTATATTTACTTTAATATAATTAAGATTTTCTTTATAATTCACCCCCACCCATATATCTGAGTGTGTGTGTGTGTGTGTGTGTGTTTTTATGTGTGTCTGTGTGTGTGTGTGTGTCTGTGTGTGTCCGAAAAATTATTGATACAGCTGTTGCTCGAAGGGTTCAGGGGCAATCTCGACTACAACTTTGTTAATTGTTTTTTTATACCCTGAACCCGTTGAAAATGGGAAATCAGGGTATAATGGTTTTGTGAAAAGTATGTAACAGGCAGAAGGAATCATCGCAGACCCCATAAAGTATATATATTCTTGATCAGGACGACGAGCTGAGTCGATATATCCCTGTCCGTCTGTCCGTCCGTCCGTCCGTATGAGCAAAAGGATCTCAGAAGATATAAGAGCTAGAGAGCTGAAATTTGGCATGCATACTCGTGTATACCATAGGCAGTACAAGTTTGCTTTATTTTTTCGATAACTCGTCCGATAACTTTTTTATCGAGAATAATCGAAAAATCGACATTGTTTTTTCAGCCTAATTTGAACACTTTTAGACCTGGAGACTCAAATTTGCGTTGTATATAAAGTTAATGGATACAAAGATTTTGTAATTTACAGATTTCGGATACCACGCCCCCTTTGCCACCAATTTGTAAAAAACGCATTTCAAGTACTAGACTTGTGCTTTGGAATGTACATACATTTTAACCATATGATTACGCTCTGAAAGTTTCATTACGATTGTATGTCTACGAAAGAAATTATTCAATAAGTTCTCATAATATTGCCCACACTGCAGCGCAGCCGAAGCGCAGCCGCTGCCTACTGCGCAGTTAGCAGAGCGCGTGTTTATAAGTGCATGTGTGCATAAAAGAAGTCCAGGATGATTGGAATATCAGCTTGGAGGGTTCAGGGTATCTCCTAGTCGAGCAGTCTCGACTGGAGCCTTCTTACTTGTTATTATTATTATTATTATTATTATTTATTTATTTTTTTTTTTTTTAGCTGTTTCTTTATAGGGAAGACTATTTAGTGGAGAAGATTAAAATCGTTGGCTGTACATATATGGCAGCCTGTGGCTTGGACCCACGCTTCATGGGGCGCATCAACGAACGGTCAGGAAATAAGCTATCCGTTATAACGGAGGGTAAGCCATAGCTTAATATTTATATTCCTTTTATAAATAATTTTTACCTAACCATCATCCTTGTGCTGTGAAGTGTCACGCGCTCAACGTTATCTGGCATCCTCAATATCGATTGCCGAAAATCCGGCTGTACCCAATGAGGAAGTGGTTTTTGTTTTAACTACATTTGCATTGGATCTGCTGCGAACACTTTGGACGTGGCGCAATGTCTACACAAATATACTTGATCGTAGCCTGTTCACCGGCAATATGAAAATTGGCATATCCTGTGGTGAGGTGATGGCAGGAGTCGTTGGCGCCTCCCAGGTTCACTACGATATATGGGGCACTCCAGTGAACATGGCCTCGCGCATGGACTCTACCGGTCTTTCTGGACATATACACGTTTGCGAAGATACTGCCTATATTTTGCGCAAATCCGGAATAGAATGTGATTATCGTGGCTTGACATTTGTAAAAGGCCTCGGGATTCTACCAACCTATTTTGTGGGCGTTAACGAAGATCACGAGTTTAGGAATATTCCTCTGCTTATAGATGACAACGCCGTTGATTGAGGGAAGACGGGAAATATTTATGATAGAAGCACAACAGAAGGGGAAGAATAATTATTATTATTTTTTTTTTAAGTTTCGAACTTTTAGAATTATTAGTTGTAATTTGGCATCCAGTTTTAAATCCGCCTGTTGAATTTTACCAAAGAAAAATTCGCAAAATCGCAATTTTATTTATTATATAATGTCATGAACTAATTCTATATTCAATAAATGGTTTCGATTGCAAAAAAAAAAAAAAAAAAAAAAAAACAAAAAGAAGTAATATCTGTACGTAAGTTTTATACACATTCACGAAAGTGCAATGATAATATTGGTTTTGTGCAATGTCTGTCCGTCACTATTGAAGCTAGAGATTTGAAATTTAGACCATGTACATCTATATACATCTATATACTATATATGGTGTTAAAATTTTACTGAACCGTCCTCTAGGGGCATGGCAAATCACAAAACGCATTCTCCGGGATCAAAGAGCTGGAGAGCTGAAAATTGGAATATATATATGTCGTGTTGACCACCTTAGATCAAAGAACTATGTATGACGGATATATCTACGCCCATTGGGCGCGTGACCACCCGGATATGAATATATAGTAATAATCTGAAATAATAATAATAGTATGGATGCTAGAGACCTGCAACTTGTATGTATATATACTCGGGATGAGCACCCAAGGCCAAAAAGTTATGACGGATACGCCCGCAAGAGGCGTGGCAAATCAGAAAGCTAGCATCTCCTACAGTTCAAGAACTTAAGAAACTTCCTCTATCGATGACCAAAAAATAATTGTTACGCATCTTTAGGGGCGTGGTACAAAGAAAAATACCCTGTAAATCTCACAGGCCTAAGGTTCGTTTTAAAAACTTGTGTGTCTACGCCAGTGGAAACAGGGCAAAAAAATTAATTTTTTTCAACATTCTCTATTAACTTGCATAAAAATTATATATAAATAATAATTGGGGATGAGACAAATTAAAAATTGAAATGTGAATGTATTCTGCAGTCGGTAGCGCCCGACTGCAACGTTCTTAATACAACGTTTTTATACCCTGAACCCATTGAAAATGGGAAATCAGGGTATAATGGTTTTGTGAAAAGTATGTAACAGGCAGAAAGAATCATCGCAGACCCCATAAAGTATATATATTCTTGATCAGGACGACGAGCTGAGTCGATATAGCCCTGTCCGTCTGTCCGTCCGTCCGTCCGTCCGTATGAGTGCGTCGATCTCAGAAGATATAAGAGCTAGAGAGCTGAAATTTGGCATGCATACTCGTGTATACCATAGACAGTACGAGTTTGCTTTATTTTTTCGATAACTCATCCGATAATTTTTTTATCGAGAATAATCGAAAAATCGACTTGGTTTTTTCAGCCTAGTTTGAACACTTTTAAGCCTGGAGACTTCAAATTTGCGTTGTATATAGAGTTAATGGACACAAAGATTTTGTAATTTACAGATTTTGGATACCACGCCCCCTTCGCCCCCAATTTGTAAAAAACGCATTTCAAATACTAGAGACTTGTGCTTTGGAATGTACACACATTTTAACCATATGATTACGCTCTTAAAGTTTCATTAAGATTGTATGTCTACAAAAGAAATTATTCAACAAATAAATTCTCATAATATTGCCCACATTGCAGCGCAGCCGCTGCTTACTGCGCAGTTAGCAGAGCGCGTGCTTATAAGTGCATGTGTATGTATGTGTATATAGAGAAGAAGTGCAGAATGATTAGAATATCAGCTTGGAGGGTTCAGGGTATCTCCTAGTCGAGCAGTCTCGACTGGAGCCTTCTTACTTGTTTAATACGAAAAGTTATTTAATATTGTCTACATAAGTTTTATTTGAGTTGGGCTCCAAATAGATCTTAGCTGGTATTTCTCAAATGTTGAATAGTCTGTAGAATTACAGGTCTATCCAACAAACATACATATATGTAATTGTTGCATAAATAAATTATCCGAGTTCAATTAACTCCGCCTACTCATGCCGTTTTTGAGCTTTCGCGGCGTTTTCTCATTATCATCAAAAGTCTAAGCAATATTGCAGATAAGATCAAATTATTTCATCCGACATCCTAATCCCAGCTCAGCCAAAAAATAATAATATAAAATATAATAATAATATAAATATAAAATACAAAATAATATTAATAAGAAAACGAATTGCGTCCGCAAAAGAAGATAATTTCAACGGCGACACGACGGATGAAAACTAGTTGAGCGAAGAGTCGTCGGACTCTGTTCGTTCCGTTTAAGGTAAGCAATCTTCTCTAAATGTATGTGTAGCTGGGTGCTTGGGTGCTTGTTGTAGCTGACGTCTTGCTGCGTAATTTGTCGCCCAAGTGATTAGTAAGACTTAAATTGCTTCTCTCTGCTCTCGCTTCTCATGTCGGCTCTGTTTCGAAAGTCCTTATACTGAACGGGTTTTCCGATTTTTCGTGTATTTACCTCTCTTTTGACATGTATTCCACTACAATTATTTACTTTTATCCTGACAACACTAAACTAACTCGACACGGAATTGTGGCGGTCGGCGATAGCTATCGAAACACATGCAAATTATTTTTTTTTTTTATACATTTTGTGTTGTGATTGAGTTTTGCGAGTCCGAGAAATCACCATATGTATGTATGTACATGTATGTTCAGTACGAACAGTAGCAAGCGGAGACAATAAGCACATGCATGTACAGTGGCTCACAGCTTATTTCGTGCAGCGGTATAGTACAATTTTAAAGCCGTATTCCCGCTAAACCAGTAAAGATATCCAAAAAATTTAAATGGGGTCTTATTTATCAGTCATTCATTATGTATTAACGTACTTAAATATTTTTCTGTTTTAACAAAAACTACAGACGGACAGACAGACAGACAGACAGACGGACAGGGCCAAATCGACTCAGCTTGTCGCCCTGATCAAGAATATATATACTTTGTGGGTTCTGCCACGCCTCCTTCTGCCTGTTACATACTTTTCACAAAACCATTATACCCTGATTTCCCATTGAAAATGGGTTCAGGGTATAAAAAACGAATTGCGTCAGGTTGAAGACGGGAACAAATTAGGGAAACATCTAAATGACACTAAATGCTTCCTAAACAGAAGATAATTTTAACGGCGACACGACGGATGAAAACTAGTTGAGCGAAGAGTCCGACACCTGTTCGTTCCGTTTAAGGTAAGCAATCTTCTCTAAATGTATGTGTAGCTGGGTGCTTGGGTGCTTGTTGTAGCTGCTGTCTTGCTGCGTAATTTGTCGCCCAAGTAATTAGTGAGATTTAAATTGCTTCTCTCTGCTCTCGCTTCTCATGCCGGCCCTGTTCCGAAAGTCCTCATCCACCATACTTAACGGTAAGGCAACACTTGGACTTATATTAAATGCATTAAGTGCTTGTAGCTTCGCACTTTTACATAGGCGGGCCAATTACTTCTTATAGTCAGGTATAATGTTAATGGTCTCTGTTCATCATGCCTTCCCCTCGCGCACTTTTGGCGGTATAAAAGCGGTAAACGATATCATTGAATTCTAACTGATTGAAACAGGACTAAACGATGTGTGTATTATTAAGAATATGGCTGAATATACGTTTTCAACAAAAAACAAGTAAGAAGGCTCCAGTCGAGACTGCTCGACTAGGAGATACCCTGAACCCTCTAAGCTGATATTCTAATCATTCTGCACTTCTTTTATGCACACATACATACACATGCATTCACACGCACGCATAAGCCTGCGCTCTGCTAACTGCGCAGTAACAAGCGACTGCGCTTGGGCAGCGCTGCAGTGTGGGCAATATTATGAGAATTTATTTGTTGAATAATTTCTTTTGCAGACATAGGATCTTAATAAAACTTTCAGAGCGTATTCATATAGTGAATATGTGTGTACATTTCAAAGCACAAGTCTCTAGTACTTTAAATGCGTTTTTTACAAATTGGTGGAGAAGGGGGCGTGGTATCCAAAATTTGTAAACTACAAAATCTTTGTATCTATTAACTTTATATACAACGCAAATTTGAAGACTCCAGGTCTAAAAGTGTTCAAATTAGGCTGGAAAAACAAAATTCATTTTTCGATTCTTCTCGATAAAAAAGTTATCGGATGATTTATCGAAAAAATAAAGCAAACTCGTACTGCGTATGGTACACACGAGTATGCATGCCAAATTTCAGCTCTCTAGCTCTTATAACTTCTGAGATCGACGCACTCATACGGACGGACGGACGGACAGACGGACAGGGCTATATCGACTCAGCTCATAGCGCTGATCAAGAATATATATACTTTGTGGGGTCTGCCACGCCTCCTTCTGCCCGTTACATACTTTTTCACAAAACCATTATACCCTGATTTCCCATTTTCAATGGGTTCAGGGTATAATAATTGTGGAAGGTAAGACTGAATCGATGGGATTATAGAAGAGCGTCGTTTTTATACCCTGAACCCATTGAAAATGGGAAATCAGGGTATAATGGTTTTGTTAAAAGTATGTAACAGGCAGAAGGAGGCGTGGCAGACCCCACAAAGTATATATATTCTTGATCAGGGTAACGAGCTGAGTCGATTTGGCCCTGTCCGTCCGTCCGTTCGACCGTCCGTATGTATGAACGCGTCGATCTCAGAAGATATGTGAGCTAGATACTTAAAATTTTGTTTTCTAGTACATCACGCGCACGTATTTCCGTGTATATCATGCGCATATCAAGTTTTTCTCTATATATCGATAACTCCTCCCGATATTTTATTATCGATCAAAAACCTTATCGAAGCTAGTTATTTAATTATATCTTCTACTCCTTTAGAGCCAGAGCTTGCAAATTTTAAATATAGACTTATATGTATTTTATTTAATTTCTATTTTAGTTTTAATTTACCCCCCACCCCTATATCCACCCCCTCACCATCACCTTTGTACAAGGCGTATTTCAAGTACTAAAGACTTGTGCTTTGGAATGCGCATACATTTTCACCATATGATTACGCTTTGAAAGTTTCAGTAAGATTGTACGTCTAGAAATTAAATTATTCAACAAATAAATTCTCATAATGTTTCCTACACTGCAGCGCAGCCCAAGCGCAGTCGCTGCTTATTGCACAGTTAGCAGAGCGCGTTCTAATACGTGCGTGTGTATGTATGTGTGCCGAAAAGAAGTGCACAGTGATTAGAATATCA